CTGGGGTGGGGGGCTGCGGGTGCAAGGCGCTGCTGGCCCTGCCCTTCATTCCCATTGTCTCCCCAGATCCACCCGCCCCGAAGCCGGACCTGGAGCAGCAGCAGGAGATGGTGGGCCCCGTGCACCCGGGAGCCCGGGCCCCCCAGGTGAGCAGCAGCCAGTGTCCAGCGGGGGAAACTGAGGCGGGGGAGGTTGTGAGCACCAGGGGAAGCAGATCGTGTGTTTGTTGCTGGTCAGTCGTTTTCAGTTGTGTCCAACTCGCCGTGACCCCATTTGGGGTTTTCTTGGGAGAGACACTGGAGTGGTTTTCCATGTCCTTCTCCAGCTCATTTTACAGATGAGGAAACTGAGGCAAACAGGGCTAAGTGACTTGCACAGGGTCACACAGCTAGGAAGTGTCTGAAGCCCAATTTGAGCTCGGGTCCTCCTGACTCCACGTGCACTCTGGTGCCCCCTAGTCGCCCCATAATTACCTTAGTAGAAATTAAAACTGATATTTTAAAATATTAATTTATTGAAAATAGCAAGAAACCCATTACATGTTAACATAAATAATATATTCATGAAAATGATTCCATTTTCCAAAACAAATAAATTTGGTGAGAAGGGTGGCATTGTTTTACATTATCTTTACAACTCTCTTTACAATCTAAATGCAGACTAGCTGGGTGCTCCATCTGCTTCTGCATTGTTCAGTCCTCATGTTGTTTTGAGTGAAGTCCATGGAGAAAATCCAGCCACACTCAGAGATGGAGTTGGAAAACATGGGGATAATGTCTTGGTTTATTACAGAAATAGTTCTGACCTCCCGGATGCCCTCACGGGGTTCTGTGGTCCTCACTGGGGGGAGGGCTGGCTGATGGAGTGCTTGGATCACACCCTCGGTGCAGAGGGCAGAGTGGAGCTGGGGTGGCCCAGCCTGCCCTGCCCATGTCAGAGGGAGTGTAGAAGGAAGGGCGTCCAGTTTGTAAGAGAACATGGCGAAGGATCCCACGGCTGGGAGGGCCCTGGTCACATGCAGTGTACGCAGGCCCATGGAAATATTGCCGTCCACTTGTGACATGATTCCAAATCTGGTAGAAAACTGAGATCCAGGAGGTGTGAGATCTGCCCTTTCTGATTCTTGACGGGGGAGTAGGAGGGACGGTCTCTGGGTAAATACAGGTTTGTATCTGCTTTCAGGAGTTAGTGACATTCAAGGATGTGGCTGTGGACTTCACTTGCGAGGAGTGGGGGCAGCTGGGTCCTGCCCAGAAGGAGCTGTACAAGGACGTGACGCTGGAGAACTATAGGAACCTGGTGTGCCTGGGTAAGGAGGGCGCCCCCGCAACCCGGGATCTGTGCTTTGGCTGGGGGCTTGTTCCCAGGTGAGAAGTCCAAGCTTCATGTGCCAGCAAGCTGGTGGCTTGATTTGTGTTGACTTTGAGATAGCTTGCACCTCTTCTGCTCTTGGTCCCTTCAGGTCAGGGCAGATATCTGAAGATAGTGGATTTCTATGCTCTTACAAGGGATGGGTCCAATGAATAATTTCATTGCTAAGCCAAAATTCATTCTGTGAATCATGCCCACCGTTCCCAGAAGGTAAAAGGGTTAATATCATATTCTGAGTTGTCCCTTACTACAGCACTTTCCTGCTTCCAATGAGCAGGGCTTGCCGTGTCCAAACCCGATGTGATCTCCCAGTTGGAGCGAGGGGGAGCTCGTTGGATACCAGAGGGAAAAGGCCCAAGGTGCAGGTGTGCAGGTGAGTGAGGGGCACCAGCAGGCCAGGATTGGCCAGTGAGGGCTCAGCCGACCATCGAGGGGAAGGAAGCACTTTAGATATCTGTGTTGATGGCTTTCCTCCAAGCTCCCCAGGTCTGGGGCGAAGGGCTCAGGTTGTCTGGCATGAACCTGTTCTTCTCCTCCCCAGACACTGAGTCATCCCTGTCCACTCTCCTTTCTTTCTCTTCCGCCTCATTGGTGGTCATCTTCTCCTCCTCCTGCTGCATCTCCCTTGACTATTCATTTCTGTTCTCTCTCTCTCTCTCTCTCTCTCTCTCTCTCTCTCTCTCTCTTTTTTTTAATGTGTATTTTTAATGGCATATTTTGTCTTCAGAAAAATAATAACAAAAATGTCTTGTTTACTTTATGTTGGGGGGGGAGCAAACGTTGCAAAATGAAAAGAACCCTGGGATGGTTGTTAGGAGACGTAGGTCTGAGTCCCACTTTTTCCACATTAGTTACAGTACACTGGGAAAGTTAGTAAGTCACGTGAGTCTCAGTTTGCTTATTTAGAAAACCTAATAATTGGCTTGCCTGCCTCTCTGGTTCGTGAGTGACCACTGTGGATGTCTGTTACCACGACAAATGACCATACACATCTGAGGGAGGATTCTGACGGCTTCTGCCCTTTGAAGTTGGGCCCTGTTTTCAGGGACCCAGTGGAGGGGCCTGTGTGTGATTTAAGGTACAGAAACATTGACACTTGTAGATAGGAGCAGACATACAACATGTACCAGATAAGTACGAGGTAAGATGTGGGAAGAGACTGTAGACAGATGGCTGGAAGGGGGTGGGGCTCTGAAAATAGGAGTAAACTTAGGCCTGATCTAGATGGCCATCAGGCATGAGAATGTTGAACTGCATCCTCTTGGAGAGACTTTTACATTTTCTGATGAATGTTGCTGCTACTTGGCCTGCTTTTCAGTTTTTCTGTTGCTAACATCTTAGTTGTAGAGCTGAGCTCCTTCGTGAACTCCTGTTCCAATATCTTTTAAGTCTTTCAAACAGTTATTATTCCAACGCATTTGCATTGATCGATTGCCAGCTAGCTATATAAAATGTTTCTAGGCCCTTATGAGTAAGAGTAGGAGATTAGTTCACAACCCTCTAGGATTTTACCCTCCTGATAAAAAAAGATGAGGCTTAAAAACTGCCAGTAATAATGAACATCCTGATCTTCTATTAGAGTGAGTGGTCAAGATAGTAAGCCCTTGAAGAATTAAGAGAAAGGGACATTCAGTGAGATCTCGCGTTAAGCTGAGTAGTCAGAAGGTCATCAAGGAAGATTTCACAGCCATTTGATGGGTGAATTGAGGGAAAAACATTAGCAGACTAAGGAAGATGCTGCTGCCAGATTCCAGTTGTGAGATGATGAGGTTCTTGGTGCCTCTTCAGACCAGGGTTTTCCCGGTCCTTTTCCACTGTCTGTTGTTTTCTCTCACTGCCATTCCTTCCCCGTAGTGCATTCTTCTGTAACGTTTTCTTTCTTCCCTCCTTCCTAGATAGGTTTTTCTGGTTCTTTCCATTGCTTCCCCTCCTGCCTACTTTGACACTAGTCTGAAAGGCTATATGTCAATGCTGTGTACTTTTTGGGGGGAAGAGATTACTTTTTTCATTCGAATGACAACTGTTTTTACTGGAGTCTGGCTTTGTTTATCATCCCAGGGCTCATTCTTTCATTACAGCATTGAAGAGTAATGTAACCAGTAATCTGTGCCTTTTAATAATATGTTAGCTCTCTCTGATTGTGCCAATATATGTCACAGATGACTGGCACTTGAAGCTGGTCCCTTCCGAGGGTAGACAGAGAGCAGCTCATAGATCCTGGAGGAGGCAGGGCCACAGGCAGCGTGGAAAAGACTTGGCGACAGTCAGAGCCGTGGCCCTTCTGATTATTGCCTGCTTACACCACAGCAGCTCATCTAGGATCAATGAGGAGTCAGAATCATAGAATTTGTGGAAACTGAGGAGCAATCCAACCTCTGACCCAATGCACGAGTCGTCTTTCTGCTGTTCCTAATGGATGATCATGCAGGCCCTGATTAAATTTTTCCATATGGAGAGAGCTTATTCCATTGAGTCCTACTTCTTTTTTTTTTAAATTTTTTTTTTTTTGGTGAGGTGATTAGGGTTAAATGACTTGCCCAGAGTCACACAGCTAGTGAGTGTTATATGTCTGAGGCTGGATTTGAACTCAGGTCCTCCTGACTTCAAGGCCAGTGTTCTATCCACTGCCCCACCTAGCTGCCGCGATTGAGTCCTACTTCTGCTGCTCTCTTGCTAATTAGTAATGAGACTTTGAGGAAGCCACTAAATCACTCTAGATCTTTGTTTACTTATTTAGAAATTCTAAGAACGATTTATATATCTCACCGAGTTGCTATGAGGCCATTATGAAAACTTTTTTTTTAAATTGTAAATTATTTTTTTTACCCTTTAAAGTTTGACCATTATTTTTTGAGGCGGAGTGGGGAAGCGAGGATACGAGGACAGCATTACGTTGGGCAGAGCAGATACTTGCTTTTTTTTTCCCTCAGGCTGGGAGACTAGGCCTGAAAGTCCAAAGCTGCACATTTCCACGGGTATGTCATCTGAAGAAAGACTCCCAAGGTATGGCACCTGTGTCACCAAGTTGGGAGAAGCCTGTGAATATGATGCCAAACTGGAGAGGCAGCGAAGTAATGAAGAGGAACATTCTCAGCAAGTAAAAATCACCCAAAGGATTTCTTTGAATACCGCAAGAGGCCATGAATATAATGAAGGTGGCAGAAACTTCAGGCCAGTCCCTTCTGTACAACTGGGAGAACAGATAGCAGAGCGTCTCCATAAATGTGACAGACACAGGAATCGCTTCAGACTAAATGCAGACCCAAGCACCTGCAATAGAAACTGCTCAAAGAAGACATCTTCTGAGTACCATGCCTGTGAGAAATCCTTCAGCTGTGATTCTGACATTATTGGATACCATAGAATTCGTGCTGAAGAGAAACTTCGTGAATATAGTGACTGTGGGAGCGCCCTATGCCACAGTTCATCCGTTATTTCATGTCAGAGAATTCATCCTGTAAAGAAACTTCGTAAGTCTAATACATGGGGAAAGGCCTTTCCCCAGAACATACAACTTCTTGAGCATCAGAAAACTCATACTAGAAAAGAAATGTATAAATGTAACGACTGTGGGAAGGCCTTTGGCCAGAGTGCACATCTTGCTCGACATGAGAGAAGTCATTCGGGAGAGAAACCTTATGGATGTAATGAGTGTTGGAAGGCCTTCAGCCGGAGGTCACATCTTATTGAACATCAGAGAACACATACTGGAGAGAAACCTTATGAATGTAATGAATGTGGGAAGGCCTTCATCCGAGGCACACATCTTATTCTACATCAGAGAACACATAATGGGGAGAAACCTTATGAGTGTCACGAATGTGGGAAGGCCTTCCCTCAGAGCATACAACTTCTTGGACATCAGAGAATTCATACTGGAGAGAAACCTTATGAATGTAATTACTGTGGGAAAACTTTTAGACATAGCTCATCCCTTAATTCCCATCATAGGATTCATACTGGAGAGAAACCTTATGAATGTAATGAATGTGGGAAGGCCTTCAAACACAGCTCTTCCCTTACTTACCATCACAGAATTCATACTGGAGAAAAACCATTTATATGTAATGAATGTGGTAAGGCCTTCCCCCAGAGCATACAACTTACTGAACATCAGAGAATTCACACAGGAGAGAAACCTTATGAATGTTGTGAATGTGGGAAGACTTTTAGCCGGAGAACACAGCTTACTCGACATCAGAGAATTCATACTGGAGCTAAACCTTATGAATGTAATCAGTGTGGTAAGGCCTTTTGTCAGAAGGCACAGCTTAGTAAACATCAACGAATTCATAGTCAAGAGAAACCTTATGAATGTAATGAATGTGGAAAGGCTTTTAGATATACATCTTCCCTCACATCTCATCACAGGATTCATACTGGTGAGAAGCCTTATCAGTGTAGTGAATGTGGGATGGCTTTTGGCTGGAACACACAGCTTAGCAAACACCAACGAATTCATACTGGAGAAAAATCTGTGTTCTCTGCCTAATGTTCTCAGCTTCCACCCCAAACAGACACCGGGGCTCTTTTTCTTTTTTATGCTCACTGATATTTTAGAGATAGAACACTAGCGTAGTAAAGGACCTGAGAGATCATCTCTTCCACCCTTTCATTATGCAGATGAAAAAACTGAGGCTGAGGTCACCAAGTTACAGCCCAGGGCACACAGAAAGGGAGTATCAGACCCAGGAGAAACACCTCAGTTTCCTGATTCATAGCAGTGGTTTTGTTTTTTTTTTTTACTGTTTTGTCCTGAATGGGAGGTATTCAGTCCTTTCACCAATCATTTTCAGGCCTTGATGTCCCACTGTGATGACTATCCCATCTGATTTGTTTCTTGGCCCTAGACACTGCTGGCCTTCCAATTGCATCACTGCCATGACTATGCACTTCTAGGTGGGAGTAATAATAATTAGCATTTAGATTTGCATTAAGATTTATAAAATGTTTTACATGCTTTTTCTCATTTTATCTTTACAACCACCCTGAGAGGTAGGTGCTATTATGATCCCCATTTTACAGGTGAGGAAGCTGAGGTAGACAGAGATTAGTTGACTTGTCCAGGGTCACACAGCTAGGAAGTTTAGAGGCTAGATTTAACTGTCCAGTGTTATGCAAAACATAGTTTCTGATTATTAACTCTCTCCTTCCTGTCCTCAAGGAGCACAGAATCCTTTTCTCTTTTTGTCAGGCCTTTCATCAAGATAACTATCCAGCCAATCACCTGACACATACCTTGTAAGGTTGACCAAGTGCCTTTGCATACCTGTACAACAACCCTGTGAAAATGGATGCCGAAGTCATGTGACTTGGCCTTGATCACACAGCTGGGCACATGGGTTCCAGCCTTGGCATCTCCTTGCTGTGGTCCAGGGCTGTTTCTACTACATAAGATGCCTTTTGGTAGTGAGTCCATCCCAATTCTAGATTTGGTCATCTTATAATCTTCCCCAAAATGTCACCTGACAAGGGCCTTCTTAGATGGCTTGCAAAGCAGTTGGCCAGCATTTGCAACCCTCAGAGCTTGGTCTTCTCTTTTGTCCAAGGCTAAGAGAGGCTAGCTGATTTCTCCACCCATCTGGTCAGTGAAGCTAGATTAGCTCTCAAATCTTGACTGCTAGTGGCAGTGCTCTCTACAAACTAGAACAATGACAAGGGTTGATTTTAAATGGCTAAAACCTTGAGACCTAATCTTATGAGCTGATCCAAAGAATATCTCGGAATTATCCTAGGACATATTCTGGGACGAGATATGCCAAACCGGAAGAGGTCAAGGGAACCAAGCAGTCATTCCCCCAAACCCCAGCCAGGTTCTTCCTAGGTTTTAACACACTTATACAGCAAGTGGACAGTACCAGCTTTGACTTGAGTTATCTAGCACTGCACAATGCCTAGGTGACTGTCAGGTTTGTTCTGGAGTACTGTAAATTGAAGATGCCTCTGTTTGACATGAAACCTGTATGAAATGCCTGTTTGGAGACTAAAGCTCCCATATTTTGTTGCAGAGTATCTTGAAGAATTGCTTGCTGATTGCTCACAAGTAGTTGAAAATGTCTAGCATATATTTTGTCTGGAAACTTTTTATTATCACTGCAACCTTAAGTAAAGTTACTTTTATCTGAGTTTGTGTGTGTACCCTAATTAATTGTCTCAAGAACTTCTGAGTCCAGCCAAAACATTAATGGGTAAAGGTGTCTTTAGTGAAAAGATTCCTAGAAAGGTGCAAGTTGTTTGTGTGTGATTGGAGAGCTGGTTCTCTTCGCCAATAGAAAGATCCAGGTTCCAAACTCTGGAGTTTTTTCACCCTCCTAGTTTGTCTGCCTAACTCCTAGTGACAGGAAGACTTCACTTCCTTAGGAATGAATGAATATGTTTGTGATGAGTTTTTATTGCTTTCCCAATGGGCAGGGTGTGTGTGGGAGGTGAGAGTAAGAGAATTTGGAACTGAAAATAAAATAGAATTTTCAAAAGGAATGAATGAAAAAGTGTTTACTAAGTGCTTACTGTATTCAAAATACTGTGCTAGTGATACAAATACAAACAGTCCTTGCTCTCTAGGAGCTTACACCCTAAGAGGAAAGATAATGTATACAGGAGATTTCAGCAGCAGCAGCGAGTCAGGAGGAATAATCCCATGATCTTTATGGTGCTGTCTATCCTTTGTGCTCAGAGAGAATCACAATGACATCCTGATGTCAGGGTCAATGCACCTTGATCTGTAGGGTGCAGTGGGAAAGCAGATAGTACCTATCATTTAAAATAAAATTTCTGCTGATAAAATCACATCCATTTCCTTTTTAATTTTTAAAAAAATTTTAGACAGATACTAAAACTTAAGTTTATAATAAGAAAAGAAAAAGAAACATGAATGTAACTATAAAATAAGAAAAGAAAAAAAAGAACGTGTCATGTGCACAGCAGGAGAGGATTCACAATAACTTAACCCCAGGTGAACCCCAGTCTTCTCTATTCCCAAAGTAGCTCTGTATGGTTGGATTCTTTCTCCTTTGCCTATGCATTTTTTGGGGGGGGGTAATAATTTAGTTTTTATAATCACCTCTAGTCCTGGGATACGGGGGATGGTGCCACTGGCCTCAGATCCTCTTCAGCTCTCCCCTCTGACCTTGAACTCAAACCAAGACCTCCAGCCTCCTGTAAATGCCCACAGCCATGGTATCTCCCTGCCCCCTGCCCAGCTTCTATGCTCAACGCATGTGTTGATTCCTTCTCTCCCCTACCCCGTCTCCACAGCACAGCTGGGTCTGACGTTCCTTGTCAGCAGAGGTTCCCTGGATATTTCCCGGGTCAGAAGCCCAACTCCTTTCTCTGTCCTGGGGGTAAAAGTTTCTGTGGCTTGGGCCAAGGAAACCTCCCAAACCCTCTAACCCCAGGGCTTACCAACCTTGTTGTTTAAACGAGGGCCCTAGCCTGGAGGTGTTTATTCTTCAAAGGAACTATGAGTACATCACTCTTTTCCATGTATCTGCAGTTTGCCATTCTAGTAGGCGTTGTCATAGGAATGTGAGATGGGATAGCTATGGCAGCTAAGCAAACTTTAACCCCAGAGTTTCTAGGACCTGTCATGTTGACCTTGGCATTGGAGGTATGGAGAATCCATCTTACATATGTCAATAAGTTGTATATTTACCTCATGCTTACCACACACTTTACACATACATTACATCTGTGAGGTTTCTCTCTAGTATGAATATGTTGAGTAACTTGTCCTCTATGGTCAAAGATGTTCCCACATTCATGACATTCATGGGGTTTCCCAGCAGTATGAATTTTCTGATGCCCAATTAGTTCAGTCCTCCAAATAAAAGGCCTTTCCACATTCGTTACATTCATAAGGTTTTTCTCCAGTCTGAGTTCCATTGGAATTAAATAATGATTTGTGTTGGAAAGAATTATCACCCTCGTAAGTTTTCTCTCTCATTTGGACTCTTTGGTATTTAGTAAGTTGTATACTTGAGGGGAAAGCTTTTCCATAGGTATAAGGTTTCTTTCCAGTATTAGTTGGTGGATAGGAATTAGCGGATAGATTGTGGTTGCACGTCTTATTACATTCATTGTAATTATATGTTTTCTCACCAGGATGTGTTTGGTGATATTCAGTAAGCTCCAATTTAGATACAAAGGAGTTCCCACTTTCAATGTACTTAGAAAATATTTTGAGTAGATATTATTATATTTACTTAGGTCTGAATAGAGATGGAAACTCTTTTGATGTGTATCACATTTGTGAAGTCCTTTTCTATGTATGTGCTCTGCTGTAGAAATGGAATCATCCCTAGACTGAAGATTCTGCCATGTTCATTCCATTCATGGCCTGTTGCTTTACCGGGATTTTCTTTTGTATGACTTAGTTGCTGAGATTTTTTTCTCCTTACTGTTCTGCTACCTCTCTAGCCTGCCATTCTATTGACATCCTTCTTTCAAGTTGTAGTCACAGAAACCATCCCTGGTGATTCTTTTCTGGAATGTCCGGAGAGACACCTAGCTTTAGAGTTGACTCCTTAAAATCAGACTTAGTGTCCCAATGTGAAAAAAAAAAACCAAAAATGCAAACATCCCATGTACATTCAGTATGCTTAATTATGTCTTACTCAAAGAGCAAAGATCGTTAACTTTTCTTTGTTGTTTTTGTTTAGTCATTTAGTCAATTCTGACTCTCCGTGACCCCATGTGGGGTTTTCTTGGCAAAGATATTGGAGTGGGTTGCCATTTCCTTCTCCAGATCATTTTACAGATGAGGAATTGAGGTAAACAGGGTTAAGTGACTTTTCCCAGGGTCACACAGCTAGTAAATGTCTGAGGCCAGATTTGAACTCATGTCCTCCAGATTCCAGGGCCAGTGCTCTATACACTGTGCACCTAGCTGCCCATTAAATTTTATAGAGTAGGACAAATAACACCATAACTATACATTTCTGTTACTATTTATAGTTTACAAAAAAGCTTTCACTTGATCTTCATAACAACTTTACAGGGATCAGTAATTGTATTTTCTAAATGAGAAAACAGGTTCAAAGTGGTTTACTGATTTGTTTAAGGTCCCACAACTAATTAGTAGCAGAACTGTGACTCAAATCTTAGGTCTCCCAACTTCCATCGTGATAATTTTTTTAAACCATACTATTCTGTCTGTTTGCAGTGGATTAAGCTCCCTGTATCTAGACTACATATGCGTGCAAAAATATTTAAGTATAACTGTCCATGGAAAATGATAGAGGTATTCTGCATTGAGTAGGAAGTTGGATGGCTTTGCTCTTAGTTTAATTGAGTTGATGGTTACACTGTATAGCATCTGAGGTACCTTCCAACCGTCAAAATTCCAGGACTTTGTGACCATCATCATCAGCTTCCTTCCCTCTCCATAATGTGTTCCTTGCTATTCTTGCTTATATAAATTTAATTATAATGAAAGGTGGAGGGGGGAAAGAGAATAGCACCTACTACATGCTAGGCACTATGCAAATACTTTAGAAATATCTCATTTGATCCTCACAACAGCCTTTCAAAGTAGGTGATGTTATCTCCATTTTACATTTGCAGAAACTGAAGCAAAGAGGCTAACCGGCTTGCCCAGGGTCACACAAAGCTCTTAGGTGCCATTTAGCTGCCTTTGATCACAGTCAGTTTTATGAAGGAATTACTTAAGATTTTGACTAGTAATAAATTAGATACGTAAATTAATTTGGGGAGGATTGTCATGTTTTATTGATCCAACCCATCCATGAACATTGTAGGTCTCTCCAATTTTTCCACTCCTCTTTTACTTCAGTCATTATCATTTTATAATTATCTCAGTTATTATTCCTAATAAAATGAATTCCCAAATATTTAATTATTTTCATTACAGAAAATGAAGTTCATTTTAACATATGTTCTTGATTTTTATTGGTAGGGAATAAGATTCACCTGATTTGGGAGAATAATCTTCTATGCAATGACTGATGAACTTGTGTTTTGATTA